CATAATTACTCTAATGTTATAAACATTGGTAACAGCAAAATAAGATAACGTAAAAAACCTTCATAAATTAAAGAAAAGGGTAAACAATTAAACAAGTAAACTCACAGTGGGCACGTCACGTATACGTGACACCCGGCGTGAATGGGTTAATGTTTACACTGCAGGTGCTTCCAGGATTAAGCTATATAATTAGAGAAGTATTCATTATAATCTCTGTAAGATTAAGGATACATAATGGTTGGTAATGAGAAAACAATCTCCTTGTTACCTCGACTTCATTGATGAACTGAACCTTTAAATATATATATATAAATATATATATTTATATACATATATATATATATATATATATATATATATATATATATATATATATATATATATTTATATATATATTTATATATTTATATATTTATATATATATATATATATATATTTATATATATATTTATATATATGTATATTTATAAAAATATATTTATATATTTTTATATATATATATATATATATATATATATATATATATATATATCAATATATATATTTGTATATAAATATATATAAATATATATATATATTTATATATATATATATATATATATATATATATATATATATATATATATATATATATATATTTATATATATATTTATTTATATATATATATATTTATATATATATATATATTTATATATATATATTTATATATATATATATATATATATATATATATATATATATATATATATATATATATATATATATATATATATATATTTATATATATATATATATATATATATATATATATATATATATATATATATATATATATATATATATATACATATATATATATATATATATATATATATATATATATATATATATGTGATCCAAATGGACAAAGAACACTTGATAAAGCTAAATATATCATAGTCAGTAAGAGAAAAACTCACACAGGTGTTTCAGTTGGGGCTGTCTGTCTGGGATTAAATTCAGTACAATAAACAGGAACTCATACTGGTTGCTGTCAAGCACTGTCAGACTAAGATACTGCAGATGGCTAGGAAGATGAGTTGTTGTAGCATTACTCAATATCCCACAGAAACCTGTAACTCTGCATCTGTGAAAAGATAAAGAATTAACATTTATAATAACAACAGATGTATCTTTGAAAGATCTGCCTTCAACTGGTCTGAAAATATCTAAACTAACAAAGTCTGTAATATAAAGATTTTTTGTTTTTTTTCTTTTTAATCTAAAGTCATGAACTTTTTTCTATGACCCTTATTTCCACAATTTTGTGGAATTTTCCCTATGAATCCATCCACAGCACGAGCCCCCAGCACCATCTCAAACCACATGCCGGGGTATGTATGGAGTCAGCCCTCATGGAAAAAATCAAATTACCCTACTCTCTCTGCTCTGGGCTGTGGCATAGAGGAGTCTTTCGGCACTGGAGCTACTTTAAGCTTTCTGTTGAACGAATGTTTCTCCTCTCCACAAATATTTAGCACACACAACTTTGAGGTGGCTCAACAGTGCCTGGGGTGAAGACATTGTCCCGGTGTGATAGGTAGTCTGCCACTATGTGAATGGTTTAAAAGAGAAGATTTGATGTCATGCAGAAAATATATATTTAATTTCATCATGACTCTTGAAAAAAATTGGTGTTTCATGGAACATTTTGGATTCCAGATTTTTAAATCTAAAAAAATCATATCAACATAAGAGAACAGAAAAATCAATAAACAAAATAAAAATGGCCATGCATCTGAATGGACTTGGCACTCAAATATAAAAATCAACCTTAAAAACATGATTACAACAAATGCAGGAAAGATATTGACAAGAACAAGTAGCCATAAAATATTTACAACTTTTCATTTGATTTTTTTTTATTTGTAGTTATTCATTCTCCTTCTTATTATCTCCTACATTGTAAATGCTGATGGCATGTATATACACTTCTGTTTTTTGAGTCATAATATTAAACACTGTTTACAGCAGAATTGATGGTGTATGATCTTACCTCTGAAACATTTCCTTTAGAGATTCATCAGTGGCACTATTTATGCTTGTAGAATTCTGAAAGTCGTCTTCAAGACACACCTTTATCTCCCAGGACTCGTGAAGACTCATGAAAACTTCTTGCAGGGGAACATCTTCGGGCCTGTTTTTAACTGTGATCAAGACACTTCTTGGCTGTGCATATTTCAAGACTCTGGTATAGGGAGCAATGTGCCTTTCTAAAATTGTAATGTGTCCTGTCAGATTCATCATTCCTGCAAAGTGTTTGTCCAAAGTATCATTACAGTTGATGAGTGAGAGTATGTACAGCCAGTGAACTCTGCTTTCAACACCTGAGTCTTTTAATAATGTAGTAATTTCTTCAGCTCTCTCCTCACCCAATGATCTTCTCCATTGCATAAGTCCAGTCAGATGGATTAAAATGCCTCTAAGGTTTTTCAAATCTAATTGCCTCTTTTCTTGCTCTGATTGCTCAACTACTTCCTGGAACATTTGTTCAAGCACATTCATGATAGTCCTAGAGGACTTACAAGATTCATATTCTTTTAGAATATTAGGTACAGGAGTAAGTATACATTGCCTGTACTCTTGAGGTATGCATCTAATCTTAAGATAGGTTTCAATGTCATTTACTATTTGAGATATATTCAAATCCTGGAGGACATCATGTATATACATAGCCACATAAAATTCCTGCATATCTTTATGAGGAAAAGTGTAAGTGATATCCTCATTCACATCAGAAGTTGCTTTGACCAAAAAGCCACTGAGAATCTCATCACAGGCCAAATTTAGGTGACTACAAGTATCCATAAGCCTTTGTACTGAAGCCTCTTCTAACCCAATGTTATCTTTTATGAGACTTATCAAAGCTTCTCTATAAAGCACCTTCAGGCAAATTTCAATTTTGTTTCTCGTCTCACTTGGATCTAGGTTCCTCTTTTGTACACCTCCTAAAAGCCGGCCTTCTACAAGTTTCTTGCTTAATTTCCATGTTTCTACAAAGAGTTCTGTCGTACTAGTCAACCTGTTAATTGCCTGAGGGTCATAGAACCACAAGACCGTGAGGAGGACTAAGTTCAAGGGCAGGTCCCAGTGACGTTGCTGCCAGATTTCTCTCCTCCTTAGATAATTCAGTAGCCTTGGTAGATGTTTACTTTCATCTTGACCAGAACTAATGGATCTACTATAATTGGTTACAAATATTTCTCTATATTGCAATGAGATTCCATGAACTTCCACATCTAGTACTGCAAAATTCTTAGGAGTCTCTGATTTGATAGCTTCCACTTTGTTGGGTCGTGTTGTACATAATATTACAATGTTATTCGATTCACCCATCTGCATGATCTCTCTGAAAACTTCTTTTGATGATGGGTTAAGTTCATCATATCCATCAACAATAAATAAAATCTTTTTGTTCATGAGTTTTCCCACAAGCTCTTCTTTTTTAATATACTGACTTTCACATGCCAAGAGAGCCATAAGGAGCTCAGGGAGAGATTTTACATTTTGCTCTTTACATTCATAGAGCAACACAAATTCATAGCCTTTCAAATGACTCATGGTACTGGTATTTTTGGCTGAGGACCAATCATGGATAATTTTTCTTGTTATTGTTGTTTTGCCTGCTCCTGCTGGCCCTTCTAAAATCAGTAAAATGTTGCTCTTGTTTGTCTTCTTCAATTTCTTTTCTACGATCATCAGTAACTCATCATATTTAACCTCAGCATGTTCTTTATCATCTTCTTCATTTTCTTTTAATGTCATTTTCATTTCGGTAAACACATTATTCACATGTATATTTCTTGTATCCTCAAAGAGATTAAAAAGAGGGGAAAAGACTGACAACCTACTGTATGTATTTTTCAAGTCAGTCACAAAAACACTTTCCTGAACAGTCGGTCTTTCAGTATTCAAGATGCAGTTTATGTCACGGTCTAGCTCTTGGCACAAGTTTGCATATATTTCATAATCAATTTGATAACGCTGCCTTGCACACAACAGAATCTTTTTCAACACCACTTGGATCTCCTGCCCTTTCAAAATATAGGATTCAAAATCAAGGCCAAATCCTTCATGAACTAAAGAATTCCTCATGTTTCTGAAGGTGGTCAAATGATATTCCAAGGTATCTCCTGGAGTTTTCCAAATAATATCATTTTGAATAGCCAAGCCAGCAGCATATCCTAGTAATTTATGCATTAGAGTCACATCAAATTTGCTAAGATCTATGGGCTGTTTGAGAAGATCAAGTTCACGTCCAGTGAAATGTTTCCTAACCTCACGCATACCCTTCTCTTTAAGGGTTTGCACAATGGGTATATGCAAGGGATAAGTATAACCCCATCTGAAAACTTGCTCTTGCACAGCCTTTCCTCTTTGCACTAGGCTAAACAGTTTGAAGAACATGTGACTAGAGTCTGTTATTTGATTCTGTTCATTTGCCATTGCTGTTGTCAAAATCCTTGAGTACCTCTATATTTAAAACTCAGTAAAAGAGAAAGAAAACTGATTAATTTCACCATCATCTGACAGACAGTAATTACCATATCTTGTGAGTGTACTGTATGAACAATATCATAAATGGTGTATATGCCTTCATGGTATAACAGATATGATCAATGAATATTAGGATTGTATAATATCAGAATAAAATTTTGAAAATAATGACACTTAATCACTGGTACCCATAATATTGAAATGTTGGGCAGATAATGTGGACAGAATGGATAAATATACTGTTCCTTTTCTAAACTTTAATTAGAAAAACCTCAATAAAATACAGGTCCAAAACACATAAATACAGAAATATAACTGAACTATTAGGGTTAATTCCTCTTTATAATAAGGTACACAACTACACATGCATTCCTGGGCACAATCATCAACAGGCCTGCTACTTCTCCTGTGAGACACGACTGCCTCACACTAGTCACTGGATCTTTCCGTGGGCCTTAATGTAGCCACATTATCACACGCGTCCATGACACAACACTGCAATCACAAGCCTTCTGTCCGCTCCAGGCCTCTTGTTCTGCTTACTCTCATCCCAGGAGTGCTTGCTAGTTCCTCTGCTCTGCTTTTACCACGTCATTGCTGTGGCGGGAGCATCAGCAGGACTTTCCTTGGGAATCACGTTATCCACTTCTCCTTTTCTTTCCTCTTTCTCCGATTCCATCTAGGCCTATATTCCAACCAACTGTGACAAAATACGAGCTCAAAAGCTCAAGCCTCTCATCTCATCTTGCTTCCTGTTGCTCGTTTTCTCTAATTTTACCCCAAACTTAGAGTAGATTTAGAGTTTAAGAGGAATAACCTAAGGGAAATCTTTTTAGCATAAGCATTCAGAATTAAACAAATAAATTCTAGTGTTGCAGGTTTCTGTATTTTGGGAGGAGGAGAGGTGGGAGTAATTATTCTTTTTTAATTCTTACTTTTACTTCAATATAAACAAAAGAAAGATGAAATTAAGGGCCAAATAAGTGTCCTTCCAAATCCTAAACATATTTTTTGTTAATGCTTCTCACAGCACTGGAATTTTTTTTTTCTTAATCTCATTTCAGTCTGCTTTATCTCTATAATATCCCAGATATACTGTCAACAGACAGACTTATGGTTGTAGTCTTGGAGGGATATTTTATAAGTAATCCTGACCAAAGGAGATCACTATACACCAGGGAAATGGTTTTCCACTGATTGTATGGTAGATAGAATGGGAGTTGAGGGTTCCTATGGCTGGGATAAGCCTTTATTGTTTTACAAGGCACTATACACTGTCTTGGGGACATAAGGATGATAATCTACAGGTCTTTTAAACGTGGGCACCACTGTGCTCTATGCTGGGTCAAGAGGGGCCAGGCCGCCTTTGTGGTACAAGGCCACAGTTCATTACCAACCATGATAGTGTGTAGGCTCTGGAATGGACTATTCTTGGTGAATTTATTAATCCTTTTTAGAAACTGAATTCCATATGATGTAAATGAAGTAACACTGACAAGGGTCTGCATCGCTTTATATCTTCATGGGGAGACTTGTTCTTGTCAGGAGACCATACCTATACCTGAATATACTTGGGTTCAACTTATTTTCATATATACTCTAGGGAGTATTACGTTTTAATTTCAGGCTCTGTGACATTAGTGTGTCTAATAACTTTGTTATTTATGAGTTGGGGCAGAAGTACATAATTTTTTTTCTTTTTTTATTTTTTTTTATTTGCTCTATCATTTGCATATACTGTAAGTCCCCAACTTAAGAACATCATGGGGACCGAGAGGCTGTTTGTAAGTCAATTTGTTTGTATGTCGAAAGTTAGGTCTCCATAACCTATTTTTCCATTGTTTTAAGGTTTTGTTTACATTAAGAATACCTGTAAATAAATCCCAATAAGTACAACATACCTTATACAGTACCTGCAATATGTAATGCTTTTAATATTATTTGATGGTGATTCATACAACTTTAATGTAGAAACATAATTTATTCAAAAAGAAAATATATTGTAGTGGTGATGGCTGGTGAACTGATCAATAAGATGGTGTGGCAGACTCATGAACTATATTCGCACCTGGGAAATTTGAAGTTTGCTAGCAACTTTCAAACAATTTTTGGGACTCTAGTATTTAAAAAATTTTGTATGTATGGAATGTTCATAAGTAGAATGTTCTTAAGTAGGGGACTATCCATATTATTTTCCTTAAACGATGGCTCTAGCTCTTTACGACAGGTTTGATCAATCTGCCCAAACCATTTCTTTGGTCATCCCACACGCCTCCTTCACCCAGGGTTGTCTCGAGCATGAGGCAACCTGGTGGACAGGATCATCCTGTGGGAAACAAGCCAAGTGGCCATATAACCCAGTTGGCCATCGTGGATTGTGCAAGTAACAGTTCCTGTACCAGTCTCACGGTGCAACCGTTGTTTAGACTAATGGTTCTGCCAACTGTACCCCATGATCCGGCACAAGGATGTTACAAAAGGCATCAAGACGAGATTGCAAGGCACAAGATAGCGTCCAGGTTTCACTACCGCATAGTAAAACTGGCAGTATCAGGACCTTGAAGACACGTAGCTTGGTCCTTCTGTACAGGTACTGGCAACTCCAAATACTCTTGTCAAGAGATTTCACGTCCCCTGTTAAGCTAATCCGTCTACTGACTTCCTGGTCTGACAGCCCGGAGTGAACTGCACTACTGAGATATATAAAGCTCTCTGTTCTAGAGATTCAGATAGAATAGCAACGTCAGCAGCAAAATGAAGGTCTGCAATCTTGATATTGCCCAGAGTTGCTCCACGGTGACTTTGCACAGTAGCCCTATCCAGTATCCAGTCCATGCAAGAATTGAAAATTAGGACAATATGTAGTATAAGGTAGTGGCAGAGTTGAGTAATAAAACCTACATGAAAAAACCAAGTCAAAGTTCTTCTATAGCAATATGTGTGCAAATGCTTCCCAAGGGTGCTAGGTATATATATTACCCCGGGGGTCCAGGGGTAATATATACCACAGTGTTAGGTTAGGTTGGATGTTGGGTTAGGTCGCCCATTTGCACAAGGAACAATGCCTAGAACTGTTGAAAGCAGTGGATCTCATGCAGAAAAATATCAAAACTATTTCGAAAGTAACCCATCTTCCCTTTTCTTTTACGCTGTGGATATTCGTGCTGTGGATATTCGTCCAGCACCGGATCTCATAACATTTTCGCTATTCGTCCTTGTGGTTCTGGATTTTTGTGTAGGATACTTTCACAAAGACTAAACTTAACAGTCTTGTAACTACAGTATGCTGATCTGCTATGTTGATATTTATCATTCTTAAGCACATTCAAACAAGATTGTCCAGCAGAAATAAGACCTGACCAAACCTAACCACCTAACCAAACCTAACCACCTAACCTAATCTAACCACCTAACCTAACCCTCTGCTATCACCCTCTATTTACCTCTGCTATTTATTTTCCACACGGGGACCTCTGAAAACAAACAAATTTTTTCCGAATAATGACAAGCTGGAGATTTTCAATAAAACGGCAAACAAAAATGGCATCCTGTCCTGCAATATTGAGACAACAACGAAACTCATGCAAATAGTTAATGCTTCTGTGTTAAATAGTTAATGTTAAATAGTTAATGTTAAATACTTAATAATACTACTTAATAATATTTAATAATAATACTTAACACTTTAATACTTAATTAATACTTAATACTTTAATATTTAATGTTAGATAGTTAAATTACCCAACTCTGCCACTTCCTTACATATTGACTACACTTTCCAACACTTTCAGCGCCAGTATACAGACTCGCTATTAATGTTGCAATTCCTCTGTGTTGCAATTCCTCTTTGTCTCGATCCCCCAGAGTGATTCGTGATGCAGAACCGCCTCCTTGATTTTATTGAGATGACAACTGGCATTACGAGGATTTTAAATACTTAGTTATCTTATTTTTACTGTATATATTATGGTTTATTATTATATATATATATATCACTGACTATAGTATATTATTGTATGTACTATAAACACTGTATGTAACTGTATATAGTACATTATCGTATATTATTGTATATAGTTCATTATTGTATATATAGTACATTATAAGTATATCATTGTATATATAGTACTTTATAAGTATATCATTGTATATATAGGGCATTATAAGTATATCATTGTATATATAGGGCATTATAAGTATATCATTGTATATATAGTACATTATAAGTATATCATTGTATATATAGTACATTATAAGTATATCATTGTATATATAGTACATTATAAGTATATCATTGTCTATATAGTATATTATAAGTATATTGTATATATAGTACATTATAAATATATCATTGTCTATATAGTACATTATAAGTATATTGTATATATAGTACATTATAAGTATATCATTGTCTATATAAATTCCTGAAAACTGAACACGAGGGGGGAGGGAGTGGGAGACCCCCCAACCCCTACCCCCGATCAGCTGATTTTTGTTTTGATTCTCGAGGAAAGTGCATGCATTTGTCCCTTCAAAAAGCTCTTCATAATCAATCAGAATTCGGAAGAAACGAGAGCAAAAGGAAGGGAGCCGACGTCCAAGATGAAGCGGATTATTCTGGGCAGACTGTCATACGCGGCGGAGGTTGGCAGAGGAAGAATTAATGCTGTTTGTGGTCATAATTCTTCTGTGGAAACTCTTCGTCCTACATCCTCTCGCCTTGAGTATGCACGGAATATCTTTAGCTCTATGTCCAAAGAGCAGTTGCAAACTCCACACGCTCCATTGCAAATTCGGTGCTACGCCTCCAACTTGCAACAGGAGAATTGCAGCGACGGGAGGCTTCCAGACTTGCAACAGGAGAATTGCAACTCCGGGAGGCTTCCAGAGTACTTGCACTTCCACCAGGAGACCAGTGTGGAAACCCGAGAAGCTGTCTCGTCTTCCTTTGTAGTGCTGAGAGACTTTGTTACGGAAGAAGAGGAGGAGACGCTCTTAAAGGAAGTTGAACCACACTTAAGGAGACTGCATTATGAACACGACCACTGGGATGATGTAAGGCATTGGAATCCGCCGATTACACATTAACCCATTCGCGCCGGGCGTCACGTATAGGTGACGGGCCCAATTTGAGTTTACTTGTTTGATTGTTTACAAACATAGATGGCTCCACTTGCACTTGTACTGCCTGTCTCGTCTGTTTACCCTTTTCTTTAATTTACAAAATTATTTTGCGTTATCTTATTTTCCTGTTACTAATGTTTATAACATTAGAGTAATTATAATGTTTATAATAAAAATAACCATTGATATTCATAGCACTAGTGAAAATACCTTTTCCCTCCAAATGAAATCCGGTAAAGCAGAGCCATCTAGTGTAGAGAAATTTCATTAAAAAATATAAAAAATGAACACAGCATTTCCCCCATTTTTTGTTCATTTTTACCCAGCGTGAATGGGTTAAGAGAGAGATTTAATTTTCCTGTTTAATGCATATACATGTTTGTGTAGAATGGTGAATATTATCAGGCAGCATAGAGAGCAATATAATATGACTATAAATGACTATAAAATATATAAGAGATATTTAATTTTCATGTTTAATGCATATACATGTATGTGTAAAATGGTGAATGTTATTAGGCAGCATAGAGAGCAATGTAATATGACTATAAATGGCTATAAGATATGATGCATACTTGTAATAGCAGAAATCTTGAATCTTGGAATATGATTTTGCATTTGATTTATTTTTTGGCTCAAGAACATAAGTAAAAGTATGTTGTCTTTAGGTGTGATTTAGTAGTATACTAAGCATAACTTTTTACTTTTTGTTATAAAAAAGCCAATTGGTTTCATAATGAAGTTGGGATTTTCTGATTACATCATTTGTTACTTATGTGTTCATGTGTCTTCTTATTTATTCTTTCTTTTATGGGGTTTTAGACTATAGCCTTGTCTAAATCACCTAGAACCTTTCCCTCTGACCTATATATAATGAGTTATGCTTTTGAATTAGAACTAGTTCATGATTAGGGGAAACTTATAAACTTTCTTGGTGCCTAAATAGGTAATCTCATTGCCTTTTATGCCTTTATTTATGGGATGTGTTGTAATATTTTCCCTTTGCAATTTGTTGATGCTTGTATTAGCATTAGTCTTTGAATTTCATATATCAACTGCTTGTTTGTTTTTTGTTTGTGAATCTCTTCTCTGATGAGAGCAGGGATGCTTTTAAATTAGTAAGAGTTACTGCTTTTTTTCTTTTATCATTTTGGATATGTATTAGGCCTTACTTTGTAGTGTATAATTCAGCTTCCAAAATACATGCTTTTGATGGAAATGTCCATAATATAGTGAGACTTTTTATCTTCTATGTAGACTGTAGCTGATGTTGAATTTGTATTTTGTATTTTTGATTAATCTGTGAATATTTTTGGTTGTACACATACACATACGCACACATGCGCACGCACGCACTCACACACGCACAAATAAATTTTGTGTGCCGAGATGTATTTTACAAAGGTGGTAATGGGTTGATATTTGGTGTAGGCTTTATATTCATTTTCAGGTTTAATGGTAGATTTTAATTGCTTTTACTCTAAGTAACTAAAAGATTTTGTGATTTGTACAAAGTTACATTTAATATTTGTTTAGTTGTCAATAGTTTTATTTGTACATTTTGTGTCCAGAATATCTTGGTAAGCATTCTTTTTTTTCAACTATGCTGTTATTGCTTGTAAATTTATGGTTGGTGCTGATTTCAAACAACCTATGGATATTCTCAGAACTTCATTTTGTAGTGCTGTTTTTTTTTTCTTTCAGATTATTATCCCATACATAACTTATCTATGTTCTATTTTTGGTTTTACAAAGGTTGTGTAAAGCATCATCTTTGTTCCTCTATTTACACTCCCAGCTTGGATGTCAGTTTCTTCCATTTTATTTATTCTACTGGTTAATTGGTTAATGATTTGAAGAAATAAATGCACTAAGGTAAAGCATTGTGGCAAAAAGGGTGTAAATAAGTCGAGGATTAGGATAAGATGTTAGATGTCGAAGGTTGTATAATGTTGTAGGATAGAATGGGTAGTAAAAAGGGCATAGAGGAAGAGCAGATGGAATACAGTGGGGATTTGTTAAAGGAGAATGGGTTATAGGTATAGGGCAATCAGATCAAATGGAGAGTATGTCTTAGGAAGGGAGAGTAACAATGTGTGAGTAAAACTGTAAAAGAGGAATTATGAAACAATTAAAGGGTAATATGGGTAGAAATGGTAGTTGCAGAAGTAGGAGAAGAATCCAGAGAATGAGATACGGGAACTAGGGAGTGACATAAGGGAGTCATGTGAGCATCCAGGTGGGAGTGGTAAGGATAACAGGGAAGAAAGAAGGAATGGTGATGCACATGGAGGAGGAGAGGAGAGTGGGAGGAAAAGGGGTAAGGGGAACTTGAGCGGGAGGACGAATAGCGGCAAAGTCTTTGAATGTAGAGTGAATAGGAATAGAGGATGAATGAGTGAGTGGAGCATTCTCTTGGGTTATGTTTAGGAAGTTTTGTATGTCTTTAAGAGTTTCTAGAGAGGAGTAGGATGGGGAGGTCTAAGAAACAAAGGTTTTCTTATGTGGAGGAGTAGAGGGAATAGATGTCCGAAGAGCAGAGGGAGAGGTGGGTGTAGGAGAGGATGTGTTAGATGAGGTGGAACATTTAGATTGCTTTTTGTCTGACTTCACATAGAGTAAGGCCTAGTTTGAATTGGAGAACTGCTACCTCAGATTGAGCTTGTAGGGCAGCTCCTCTAAAATACATCGTCGGAGCCACCATAATTAGCACACGTGTGTGACTGAGCAGAGCAATTTGAACGATCATGACCAGGTTGGGCATATAGAGAGCAGTGAGCTGTGGGGCAACAGTGATTGGCTGGGTGACCAAAACACCAACATTTCTAACATTTATGGGGAAGAGGTCAATGTGGTCATAAAGGGCAGGTCACTCCACCAGGTCATGTCTACAGAAGCTAATCTTGGCAATATTGGTGTAGGACTTAAGTTAGCCTCTGGGAGGAATGGTGTTGCACTGGACTTCTATTGCATCATAGTTAACAAGGCATGTAAGCAAGTAGTTTTCACAGTCTGACCAGTCCTTGTCATAGACAGGAGCTTGGGACTCAGATGTAACTGTGGCAACTGCGACATTTTTGGAAAAGAATAATATTGTCTAGCCTAGAGTACAGGAGGAATCATAAAAGACTCGATCCCACTTAGCTGGGCCAAAAGGGGTACTCAAAAGGTTTGCAGGTGGAAGCAGTAAGACGAGGACAGGAGGAAGATGGGGTGGTATGAAGAGAGATAGTTTTATTGGGAGGAGGACAGTAAGGATGAAGAGTAATATCAAGGGGGGCGGGGGTAGACAATGAAGAAGACTGTGAAGTAGAAGATGGAGTGGAAGATGTTGGGGCTACAGTCTACCCCTCAGAGTCTCCATGAGGGGGGTAAGGGCTAGGTTAGGATCAACCAAGGGAATACAGTGCCCATAGCTCCCAGAAGCTCTTCATCCCTGACGCAAACCCAGCCTTTCATCACGGCTCTCACACAATAGGAAGTGGACAAAAGAAGGGGCTAAAGAGAAGAAAAAGGAAAGAGAGAGAAGAAGAGATCATGCAAAATTAGGTGAGGCAAGAGCTGAGGTCCAAAGTAGGAGCAATCCTTTACATTGCTCCCCAGTCTGTCTCCTACGCCCCACCCCCCCTTACAACAACAATGAGCAAGGGATTAGGGTAGTATTTATTCTTTTTTATTCTTTAAGACTTTTGTTCTTTTCTCAATTTTTTTTTTCCAGGTTAATTTAGGCTGTGGAGCAACAAGTGTTTGACTGGGTGGCCAAAACAGCAACACTTGTTACATTGATGGGGAAGAAGTCGATATGGTTAGACAGGGCAGGACATTCCACCAATATAAACTTCATGAGGGAGGTCATGTCTAGAGGCTAATCTTCACAATATTGGTGTAGGACTTACATTGGCCTCTGGGAGAAATAATGTAGCACTGGACTGTCACTGTATTATAGTCAATGAGGCCTGCGAGCAAGGCATTTTCAGTCAGAGCAATCCTTGTCGTAGACAGGACAATCAGTGAGTGAGACGGAAACAGTTTCAGTACAAGTGTTCTTCCTTATATGCATAGATACCCTCCATTTGCTCTTAACCTGCCATTCCTCTTGTACTAATCCCTGCCTTATCCTATGTTCCCTTATACTACCATACTGTCTTAAAGTGCTGTATGATCTTTGATGTTTAACACATTTTGTTACAATCATTAACTTTTCGATGTAGTACTATCCTATAGTGCTATATGACCTTTGATGTCAAGCACATTTATTTTTAATCATTGACCATTTAAAATTAACTAAAACAATGAATGTACTTTGTTATGAGTATTTTTTTTTAAATATTTATGCACAATCCCCCTCTCTCTCATTATCTTTAAGTGTTCATAGTCCCCAAAACTTTATTCACAAAACAAGGCCAATGGCTTCATTCTTTCAGTATGAATACGATTAAGAAACACGCACACTCACTCACTCACTCACACACACACACACACACACACACACACACACACACACACACACACACACACACACACACACACACACACACACACACACCCTCTCAACACCCTCACTCAACACATGCGTGCACACTCTCGCACTCACTCACAGTCACACACACACACACACACACACACACACACACACACACACACACACACACACACACATACACACATACACAGACATACACAGACATACACAGACATACACACATACACAGACATACACAGACACACACATACACACACATACACACACACGCACACACTGTGAGGCCTATGCCCCCAGCACCCTCCCAAAATAGCTCATTGTTTACCTTACGTGTTTCTCGCATAACCCTCTGACAACAGGCCTTCCTTATGGCCACACGTGGCCGACACTACTCCTCCTCTACTACTGCCATACATATTACACTATGAACTTATACCTATATCTTAATACAATGACACTACTTCCTACTTATCAAGCCTTCTGTTCAATACAACACCAGATGCAACATCCGCAGGCCTTCCGCCTTGTGACGTCGCTCTCTTTGCGCGAACACATCCTATTTCTTCTATGTCCTAGTACGTTGCAGCCCTTTGTCAATTTCGTATGCAGGCCTGGAGAAAGGAGGGTCGCCTGCGAGCGACAGTCAGACAGCCTACAGCACGCTCACCGCTCCGTCAGTTGTATCATTCCTTTCCCATAATAAAGCCGCTGCTACTGATCACCTTTACCCCAAGATTACTGCATCGTGCCAGACGCGACTTCATCTGCACACGACCGCCCATGGGCCTCGTTATACACCCAACAGACACACTCACACTCAAATATACTATTAACAAACATTTACACGAAATAACAACATACATGTCTACACACACACACTCACAACTTTCCTACGTTTACTGCAATCAGAAAGGATTTTCACATTGACTAATTTCTCTTTTACAGATGTAGAAAATGGCCAATGGAATATACAGCAGTATTTTCCCTTCTTGCTGTTTGTTATGGTTCTATAACGAAACACGAGCTTTATTCGGCCTTATTCTCTTCTTCGAAGGCAATACATGGCTTTCGAGAAACAGAGAGGTCCAAGTGGGGGAAAGCCTCGTCAAAGATCCTGGCCAGGTTGCAAGAATTTGCTTTTCCAAACCAAGATGAAAAGTTAGCTCTGGTGCACATCCTGGACCTAGCCAAGACTGGAGTGATTAAGCCTCATGTCGACAGCATCAGGGTAAGAAAGTGTCATCTCATTATCTCTCCCGAATGCCGTGGCAGAGAATGAATGTGAGGAATTGCCGTGAAGTGCAGGTAGTGATGACGGCCCGGGAGTTTGAGTTTAACCCGTTGACAGCAGTTGGACACGGAGGCCTATACCTTCCCAAAACATTGTGATTTTAGCAGATTATTTTTGTTTAAACCGCTTCGCAAGTGCATAGTCACAAAAAAGTGTCAGTCATTAGACTTATCTAACCTCACCCTTTTACCCGTTATTTTTTTTAATTAGTTGTAGTATCGTTAGAATGTCATAATGCCGGTGCTAATAGATATAAAAAAAAACTTAAAACGTAAATTTTAAGGATATGCGTGTGGGTGGGTGCGTGCGTGCCTTATGATCCAGTGGTTAAAGCACAGGACTCCCATCCTCGTGGTCTCGAGTTGGAAAAGAAAGGAAACGTACGTTCATTTGAAGCACAGATCACGGTGGGTATATTTAAATAAACAAACCTGTTTGAAATTTTAAAACAAAAATTGAAAATACTTTATTGCAGGAATAATGCTTATACATCAGTGATTTAAAAGAAAAACATACAAGGCATTCTTCTTTTGTCGGATTTGAGAAAAAAGGTAAAACAAAATCAAAATCAAAAACATAAAATAAAATCAAATAAAAACTAAGAAAATGCTTTCCGTCAAAATTATTTGTCTCTAGAATCCTCCAGATGCGTAATCCTGGTGTGCAGTTACGGCGAGACCTCGGAAGCTGCGAGCGTACCTTAGGCTAGGTCGGAGGATATTTATTACTTTTGTCAGATATTCCGTTTTACTTGATTGCACAGTGGATGCCCATATTACATACCATATGGTGGAAGTATGCTTGCGTAATACATTAGGTCATTTCAATTTTATTTATTCATTTATTTTATTTTTTATGAAAAATAAAGTCACATGCGTTCATACATGTCAAACTTATTGAGAGGTTGAGGTGGGTGTGTAAGGATCGTCATGTTCGATATGACGCTGTTTGATCATCCAACATCAGCTGTCGAGTCGCTGCGTTTGTTAGCTTTTATCATTTCCATTTTCGTAGCTGCTTCGACAAAACTTACCGATTGCTTAGCGGCGAGTGGGTTTGGGTCAGTATTCATCACCGAGATGGGGAGATCAGTCAATATGCGGCGGCGTTAGCGATTAACAATATTAACGAGATATACATATATATGGCTATACATAAATATCCATACAAATATCTACATATACTTGCATATATATACATATACATAAATACATATATACACATATATGCAAATACACATACATATACGCATATACATGCGCGCGCGCGCGCGCACACACACACACACACACACACACACACACACACACACACACACACACACACACACACACACACACACACACACACACACACACACACAATGCTCGTGTGAATGTATATTATTCAGTCACGCACACACCCTTCTACTTTCAGTTTTGTGGCAACACTATCTGTGGCCTGTGTCTGCTCAGCGATGCAGTTATGAGATTGGTGAATGTGGAAGACAAGACACAAATAGCAGACATCATGCTCTGGCGGCGGTCGCTTTACCTTATGAAGTAAGTGTAAGGTTTGTGGAAATGTACGGTGTTTTGCTTACACACATACATACATTATATATATATATATATATATATATATATATATATATATATATATATATATATATATATATTATATAATATATATTATATATACTATATATACTATATATATTATATATAAATATATATATATTGATAGATAGATAGATATTTTTTTCCCTCTCAAGGACGGGGCATGGAACTTGCAGGGGACTGGAGGCATTTGAGAACGAAGAAAATGAATCGAATTACAGACTGCCTAAATAGTTTATAAATTAAGAACTTTTATACTTGTATTAATTGTCTGATTTAGAATTAGAGAAGTAAGGACTGGAGGATTACCTAAAAATGCCCAGTTCAAGACACAGCCTGAGACAAATGAGTGGAGAGAGAGAGAGAGAGAGAGAGAGAGAGAGAGAGAGAGAGAGAGAGAGAGAGAGAGAGAGAGAGAGAGAGAGAGAAAGAAAGGGAGAGAGAGAAAAAAAAAAGAAAGGGAGAGAGAGAGAGAGAAGGAAGGAGAGAGAGAGAGAAGGAAAGAGAGAGAGAGAGAGAAGGAAAGAGAAAGGGAGAAGGAAAGAGAGAAAGGGAGAAGGAGAGAGAAAGGGGGAAGGAAAGAGAGAGGGAGAAGGAAAGAGAGAAAGGGAGAAGGAAAGAGAGATAGGGAGAAGGAAAGAGAGAAAGGGAGAAGGAAAGAAATAGGGAGAAGGAAAGAGAGAAAGGGAGAAGTAAAAGAGAGAAAGAAAGAAAGAGAGAGAGAGGAAGGACCTCGCATCGTCTTCACATTCATGCGTCCCTCTCTTCGCCAGGGACGCATCTCGATACAACTACACTCACGAGGTCCTGGGAGAGAAGGAATCCTATTTCGGTTCCCTGCCAGTGCCAAGGGAAAGGAGGATCTCTATCATGTGCCGCAATTACCCTAGACAGGAGGACGTGTCTTAGTGTGGGAGAAGGTAATGAGAAGAGGTACGTGTTTTCTTTATTTTATTGATGGAGGTGTTCTTAGGATACACTTCTTCAGAGTGCCCTTTCCACTATTTCTGGTTTTAACCCCTTGGTGCCGGGCATGACGTGTACGTACGTGCTATGCCCACAGTGAGTACTTGTTTGATTGTTTTTACGCATAGATGGCAACACTTGTACTAACTCCCCAATGAGCTAATTATGAGCACCGCCCGTCTAGCCCGTTTACCCGTTTCTTTGATTTACGAAATATTTGACGTTATCTTATTTTCCTGTTACTAATGTAAAAAAAAACATAAAAATCATAATGTTTATGATAAAAATAACACCATCGATTTTCATAGCACAAGTGAAAAATACGTTTTTCCCGCCATTTAAATCAGGCGCTAGCAGAGCCATCTATCGGCAGACATTTCACGAAAAACATAGAAAGTGGGCACAATATTTTCCCCATTTTTTGTTTATTTTCCCCGGCACCATTGGGTTAAGAATGCAAATTGCTTAACACCAGAGACAAAGATTGCATGGAAACAGATTGTAAGATTGCCCGTTGTTTGAAAGTAGGTTTTAAAAATTCACTTTGTAGTTATAGTAGGTGTAGAATTATTGCCTTTTGAAGTAAGTTCTTGGCACTTTTTAATTTCATTTCGACAGTTTTAGAAGGCCTATAGAATGTTAAATTGTCACAATGTGTTAATCTCATAATTATCAAAATTAGATAAAGTTATATGCATTTACTGTACCCCTTTCTGCCTCGTAGCCTTTTAGTTTGCAACCCTTACTTTGCAAGGGATATCAGAGAAAATCCAGGTACGACTTGTACAATGTGAATAATGTATATCTTCCATGTAATAGCGATTTTGCAAGTGGTTGCGACAGAAGTTAGGGCAGAAAATAAAACGGTATATCATTTAGGTCCCTGCACTAGTTTAGAATGCCTTTTAAACGCCGTGGCCGCTTTCAGATGTATCGACTTTTCGCCATGCGCCGTCCACGGCACGATGTAGTGCCAAACAACCAGAATTGTCTATAGATGCTTTCACACGTCAAGACCGCTGTTATCAACAGAAACCTTTTAAAAACGGCATGGCGAGACGACGTGAAATATACATTGTTCTCTAGTGACATGTTGAGACAGATCAGTATTTCACCATCTCGAGCTGTGCACAGAATTGCTCGCCGGTGTTATGATTGTGTCGTTATGTGGGCAGCTGTTGGCTGCCCAGACAACGGCGTACTCTCTGGAATATACGACGATGGGTCGTAGACGGCGCACGGCGAAAGGGCGATACATCTGAAAGTGGCCTATTCGTGATTCACTTAACTTCTTATGGTGTCTGAGATTCGACCACACAAGGTTAATGCTTAAAGCCCACAGTTACTTTTCATTTCTAGTGTTTGCTATGAAAACAACAGTACAGGAAATGTACTGACCATCTTGTATAGACTAACTGCAAACTGAAAAGAGTATAGCTGAGGAATAATCTGAATATCAAAATCCTGCCCATGTAATTATAAGATTGTGTGTGTGTGTGAAAAACTCTGGATATGATATTAACAATATAATTGTTCTGTTTCAGAATAGTGATCCAGTCATGTATAGCAGAGATGTAAGCATTTGTTAAAAATAAATGAATATTCACTTTATACTTTTTATTTTCCAATGTATTTCATGGAGATTGTTGAATCAAATTATTTTTCAAATTCTGGTGGAAAATTCAACGAGTATTTTCTTGTTCATGCAATTCCGCAAAAGATGTTTAACTTACTAAGAGCAAAATACCAACAAGGAGATCAGGCGATGAACGCTGAAAAAATGGTGAACAGTGAACACGGAGAAAAGAAAAGAGAAAGATGAAAGATGGAAATGGAAAAACTCACAATGACCCTTAGATGTTAACAGGTAAAACAGGCAATCATTACACTAATGACCCAACTGCCTCGTTTAACTGGTTCTAAATTACTATTATTGGCAATCAAGGCAGTTGGCCTATGTTATGGGGAAATTGTTCATCTATATGAGTTTAGATGTGAATTTTGTTTCCATGTACGTACTAAATATGTATATATGTATGTATATATATATATATATATATATATATATATATATAAACTCACATGTGTATGCATTTGGCATGCACACACCTAAATGTACACACACACATACTCTCTCACACTCACTCTCTCTCTCTCTCTCTCTTCCTCCCCCTCTCTCTCTCTTCACTTTCTCTTTCACCTTCCCTCACCCCCCCCCCCTTTCTCTCTCACCTTCCCTCACTCCCCCCCCCCCCATCTCTCTCCTCCTCTCCTCTGTCTCGTACCTCTTCCTCTCTATCCCTCTCCCTCCCTTCCCTTCCACTCTCTTTTTAACTCCCTAAACCTCTTGAAAAGGAAGAATGAACAAAAAACGCCATAAAAGCGAAAATAATTAAAAAACACAACCCGCCTCTTTTAGAATTACGACCCCGCCCCTGTTTAGAACGCTGGCGGAGTCGACACACACTCGCTCTCACGGCCTTTCTCGGTCTGGGGATCTTGTATGCTATGAGAATCGGGCTTTCCGTTGCCATGGTCAAAGCCGACGTCGGGAGGCCCACAATCGCCGGCAACAGATCGTCGGATATTTGCCCATTTCCTGAAGATATGCTGGAGATGGAGGGACGGTGGAGGAAGAGGTCGTGGGAAAGCAGGTGATGGAGACTGTGGTAATGTTGATACTGTTCCGTGTGTGTATTTGTCATGTGGTGTGTGTTACTGCTGTTGTCAATTTTGTTATCAATGGCGTAAATATATATATATATATATATATATATATATATATATATATATATATATATATATACAGTAAATGTGTAGATTATATATATACAGTATATGTGTAGATTATACAAATACAGTATATGTGTAGATTATACATATACAGTATATGTGTAGAGTATATATATACAGTATATGTGTAAACTATATATATACAGTATATGTGTAGACTATATATACAGTATATGTGTAGACTATATATATACAGTATATATATGTAACATCTTGTAACACCATATTCCAACACCACTACAACTACTAGTACGTGCACGGCGGTCTTGGTCTCCTGTGGTGTGTGGCCTGGTTCCCCTTCAGACTCGTCCTCGGGTTTTGAAGCAGGAGAGAAATTACATAGCGGGGCAGTGCGAATTGAGGAGAGAGGGGAGGGGAGGAGAAGAGAGGAGAGTGGGGAGGGGAGGAGAAGAGAGGAGAGAGAGTGGGGAGGGGAGGAGAAGAGAGGAGAGTGGGGAGGGGAGGAGAAGAGAGGAGAGAGGGTGGCGAGGAGAGGAGAGTGGGGAGGGGAGGAGAAGAGAGGAGAGTGGGGAGGGGAGGAGAAGAGAGGAGAGTGGGGAGGGGAGGAGAAGAGAGGAGAGTGGGGAGGGGAGGAGAGGATAGGAAAGTGGGGAGGAGAGGAGAGGAAAGTGGGGAGGGGAGGAGAGGATAGGAAAGTGGGGAGGAGAGGAGAGGATAGGAAAGTGGGGAGGGGAGGAGAGGAGAGGAAAGTGGGGAGGAGAGGAGAGGAGAGGAAAGTGGGGAGGAGAGGAGAGGAAAGTGGGGAGGAGAGGAGAGGAAAGTAGGGAGGGGAGGAGAGGAGAGGAGAGTGGGGAGGGGAGGAGAGGAGAGGAGACTGGGGAGGGGAGAAGGAATGGGTGGGGAGGAGATGGGAGGTGAGGGGAGGAGAGGTGGAGGAAGATAGAAAAGAGGAGATGAGGAGAGGGCCGGGGAGGAGAGAGGGGTGAAGAGAGGTTGAGGAAAGGGGTCGTTAAGAGAGGGGAAGATATATGTATATTTATATGTGTGTGTGTGCGTGCGTGCGTGCGTGCGTGCGTGCGTACGTGCGTGCGTAGTACCTATCCATAGATGTATCAATGTGTGTATAGGCACATCTTTATTCCTATTTACCCCCCCCCCCCCACCCGTAAACCAACGTTATCATAGATTCCAATTTGATCCTAAATTGTGCAATACCTTTCATTATGCTGCAACATCTTTGGATAACTTGGAAAAAAAAAATACTATAATCCCCCCCCCCCTTTCCCCCCAGTACCTCTTATGTAACAAATCAAAATGACCCAGACATATTTCTCCAGCCTAATTTAGGCCTCGATAATCCGAACAGCAAATACTATTGCATTTGATCCTCAGCTTGGCAAATGTCCTCCGTTTGTCTAAAAATGTGATATCTGTTATAAGTCTAAATATCAACGGCATCCCTCTCCATCTCGATACATTTATAGACCAATGCTTGAATTTTGATATCTTGTCCTTTTATGAAACCAATTTAACTACAGATACATCTCTTTAAGGTACCTAATTACAATGCCTATACTATTTATCCCGCCAAAGAGGAGGGAGTGCCATGATTCACAACTACGACCAGAGTTAACTAGTATGGAGTATTGCTTGGATTTTATTTTATAGAAATTAAAAATCTAGAGGTAAATCTGATGGTCGGCGTAGTTTACAGACGACCCCATACGGATTTTAAACATTTCCTTGACAAAGTGAAAGACATAACCGAAATAGTGAAGAAAACAAACATTATATTATTACAGGTGATTTTAATGTAGACTTGCTCAAGAATGTATCAGATGCTAATGTTCAAGACTTCGCAGCCCTATTCAATTCATTTTTTTTTTTTTTTTTTTTTTTTTACGTTTGTCATTAAACCTACACGACTGAGTCCCACGTCAGCCACTCTGATAGATCACATTTGGACCAACCAATTTTCCCACTATGTAACAAGCGGTGTCATCCACACAACCATTTCTGACCATTTCCCCATTTTGTTTTAACCTTCAAAACACGACTTAATCGGGAAACAAGGAAGGAAATAATTACAACCAATTGAGATTTTAACGAAGGAAGAATTGGCCAGTTTCAGGATTCCGTAAGTGATGTATGCTGGGATTTAGTTTTTTTTGTTCCAATGACCCTAATATTGTTTACGGTAACTTTATCACTATTTTTTTTCTGCCGGGTATGATGAGTATTTCCCTGTAAAATCTAAATTAATTAAACCAAAATCTCAAGACAAACCTTTGATAACTCCAGCAATAAAGGCTCTTATAAGTCAGAAGAACGGTCTCCAGCGCCTATATGTAAAACAGCCGATTGGTTTACCTCAGGGGTCACTGTTAGGGCCTCTTCTTTTTCTAATCTACATCAATGATTTTGTGAAAACATCCTCGTATCTGAAATTCGCCTTCTCTGTTGATGGCAGTAATCTCTATGCTTCAGGAAACAATATTAATCAACTTATTAGTAACATCAATAGAAAACTTATCACTATCATTAATTGGATTTCTTCGAACAAACTGACGCTAAACATTGTTAAATCCCATTGCGTTATATTTAATCGTTATAAGAAACCCCCTACACTTTTGCCGGTAAAATTAGAACGTAAACCCTCGTCAAGGAAAACCGAAACTATTTTTTTGAGTAATGATTAACGATAAATTGGCGTGGAAAAGTCATACGAACAATATTCGTCAAAAAAACAACAACAAATAAACAGTGTGGTATCTTGTACCATACGCATGATTTTCTCACTCTGAAAGCCCGTAAATGCATCTATTTTTCATTAATTTATCCACATCTAACATACAACACTGTCTGGAGAGCTGTCAATGAGACCCCACAAAAGCCCGTTATAACTGCCCAAAAACGAGTCAACTGAGCAATTGCTAGACATTACTAACAGTGCATTTTCTACACTGAAACTATTGAAACTGAAAGATATAAATACTTATATTTGTGTTTTCTTCATTTTTAAATGTATCAGTATCTACGAAAATAACTTATTCCGGTACAGAAATGATTTAAGACATCCTCTGCGATCAAATTCACTAGTCTAGCACCCAACTATAGGCTCAAACCAATCAAAGGCATGCATTTTATGGGGTAAGTGTATGGAATAATCTGCCCTCACATCTCCATAATGCTCTATCACTACATCTATTGCATATGTCAGAGTGAATTCTGATGTTTAGAACAAATGTAAGTAACTGGTATAAGCATATATACAGGTAGATAACAGTGTGTACTTGTGCATCTGTATGAATGCTTGTATGTGTACAAGTGTGTCTGTGTACTACATTTATAAATATATGTGTATGCGTATATGCAAATGTTTGCAAGGTTAATGTAAGTATGTATGTATATGTGTATGTATGTGTATGTATACATATATATGTATGTATATTTATGTATATATATGTTTGTGCTTATTTTTTATGAATAACATTATCATTTATTACAATATAGTACAATTTCCTAGTCTGTTCTTTGTTATATATACTATATATGTTTTTATCTTTATTACTGTCATCATCTCCAATGCACCTCTGAGTGGAATGATTGAGTCTAAAATTTAAAGAAACATTATTTCCCTTATAACAAGGTGCCTCATTAAGAGAGCTCGTGTCCTCAGGAGGCTCAGCCATTCTATTTTTATTTGGTGTATGTCAATCGGTCGTTATGTATAATGCCTAAATAAACGTAATCAATCAATCAATCAAAACACACGTCGCGCCCCAGAACGGGATGTTGTTCCTCCGGTACCTGGCGCTGTGGCTGTTCACCTTGGTCTACAGCGCCGCCATAGA